GCAGAGACACACAGCCTGCGTGATCTGCAGCTGGGGCCCCGCCAGGGAAGGAACGGTGAACCATTCCTGAAAAATGTCACAGGCTCAACACAAATGGAACCAGCTCTGGAGTTTTCTGACGTCGGATCCAAAATGAGGATGCAAGTGAACAGGAGGTCAGGGAGATGAATCTAGAATCCCTCAGCTCAGCTCTGAAAGACGGCTGCTGGCACGTCAGCAGCAGCTCTTCAGAACCGGATCCCTACCCATTTCCAGAGGGGGCTGGGTCTGTTCCAGAATTCTCCGAAATCTACACAACAGGGCTTCCCTCCCCTAGGTCTGAAAAATGGTGACAGGCTCCCTGGGGATTTTTAAATACTTCCAAAAGCCAAGAGGGAATGAGCCCTGCGCCTCTGGCCACAATGGCTGCCAACGCAGGGGCTAGCGCAGGCCTCGTGCAACCCCTGGCTGGCTGGCTGAGATCGCTTGGATTTTTGGAGTGTGACTCACTCATGAAACCAACACTACTTTCTGTCGGGGAAAGACAGAACAATATTCAACCTGGGAAAAGGGATTCTTGGTGGTTATAACACGACTGGTGACGACGGAGGATCTGTTAAAAGTTGATGTGGGTGTGTCCTGAAAGGGTCGGCATATTCAGTTGTGCAGGTTACACACTGCATAACTCTAGCGGGTGCCACCATCAACACTGCAGATATCAGAGGGTTTTCGTTGGTTGGTTTGTTTTAATAAGAATTCTTTGAAAAACGGCAGTAAGGTGTCTATACTGACAAAATCAGTCTATACTGACAAACTCAGTATGTTGTGTGATTTTATGACCCATGGGGGCTAAGCGTCTCGAGGAAGGGCTGCCTTTTCTATTTTGCACAAAGGTATTGCGTGGATTGCTGGCAGCAGCACCGTGGATCCACTCCATGCAGCCTCTGCGCAGAATGCAGGGGGACCAAGGGCCCTGCTATGACAGCAAGCGTGTCTGGATGTTTGGAGGACAACACAGGTGGACCCCACGTCGCTTCACCAAAAATTCAGCCCCTCTCCAAAAGCTAAAGCTGGCCCCTGCCTTCCTTGGGGAATTTCTCCTGTATACTCACCTCGGCAGGAAGCAGGGTGTAGGTGTAGAATTGTTTCATCTTGGTCACCAGATCGTCTGTGGAGAATGTCACATACTCCACAAACTTCCGGTTCAGCAGGAACCAATCTGAGCCCCCATCCACGGCAATGCCCTCTGGGATCCGCCGGTCCCCCAGGCGCCACATGTGAGCATCACACTCCAGGAAGAGCCGATCTAGGCCTTGTTTCCGGATGAACCTGGGAGAGACAAAGTAGCCCTTAGCTCAAAAGTGCCCTGAAAGAGGGAAGTCCAGCCAGAGTTCTAATAGTAACAAAACAACACAATCACAGCCATAACAGCATTTATTGAGCACTTACTATGTGCCAGGTACCAAGCCAGGGCTCTGTGTCTAGTTTATCGATGGATCCTCACAGCGAGGCAGGTTCCTAAACCCCTAGAAGGCGGTACTATCATCGCCCCCATTTTACATAGGAGGCCACTGAAGCTTAGAGAGCGCAGGGGACTTGCCCAGTACAGTTAGACAGCAACGACCACCTGCTGCATCTGCTTCCTCTCTACAGAACATTCGAAATAACCTTGTTACGCCACAGATGCCTTGGCAGTTTGGTGAATGCAGCCCATGGACTCTCATCTCAGAAAAGTGCTCTTCAATGCACACAGTATGTACGTGGTTACAAAATACCAAAACATAAAAATAAAAAACCACCGAAGTTATGACATAGTAATACATGTGCTTCTTGATTCACACATCGTATACAGGATTACAAAATATTTTTAAAAACACCAAATGTATGATAACACACGTGTTTCTTTATTAACACATTAAGAAATAAGATATCACGGCAGGTCTCATAACTACTGTAATTCTGCAGAAGCAGTGAGCATAAATGATATTTAGAGGTATCGGCACCAACTATAATGTGATATGAAAATATGTGATTCCCGTGGGTGATTAAGTCACAGTTACTGCTAACATGACTGTGGTTCCTTTGCTACCTTTAGCTGCATTTCAGTTAGAATTTGTTGCAAATAAAGATGTCATTTTCTTTCCATCCAAGGTCATGGAACCCCTTGAATTTTACCCACAAAGCCCAGATTAACAACTCCTACCCTAGTAAGTATATGTATAATCATCTCGTTTAGGATTTTGCAAGGCAGGCAGGGCGGAACTGGCATTTGCTATTTTGCAGATGCAAAAACCAAAGCTATGCAGGTCCCAGAGCTGGTGACATGGGTGTGTTGGGGGTGGTGGTGGACAGAGCTAGAGCCACACCTTCTGGCCCAAACTCCCAGTCCGTGAGCAGTTAGCATTCACTGCACACTTACGGTGTGCCAGGCACCATGCTGGGCCCTGCTGGGGCTCAGGGAGAAGTGGGGTGATGTTCATTCCTAAGGTCTAGAGGTCTCCCAACCCAGGGATCTTCCCGCTCTTCCAGCCTGCTGATCCTTACACGTGTTCAGGACTCTGGATTTTTCCAGCTCTTATAAATTTATAACTCTCTTGCATCAATGCTTCTCCGCGCTGCCACCACCATGACGTCCCTACTCCCTGTGCCCACCATTATACATACCCTTCTGTGCAAGGCTCCTAGACATGCTCTGATGCTCTCCCTGTTCCCCCCTCCCCAGCCTCCCCTTGTTAACTCCAATCTATCCATCAGATTGCAGTCCAGAAGTTATTCCCTCATTCTCACATCACTGCCATTTCTTCCACTATCATCACCATCATCGTCCTCTTCATCACCACCATCATCATTTTCGTTATCACTGTAATCACCATCTTCATCATTACTGTCAAAACCACCATCATCACCATTGTGACCATCACCACCATCATCATCATCATTATCATCATCATCCCCACCACCATCACCATCATCATCCTCATCGTCACCATCATGGTGGCAAAACCATACCTCAAGGTTATCATTCCAAGGGCTTTATGTGAATTACCTGTTTTAACTCTCATGAAAACCCCAGACACAGTACTTTTATTAACCCACTTTTACACATGTGTGAACTCAACAGCTTGCCATGATATATTTGTGTGGTTCTTTCATTACTGTCCACCTCCTTCGGTAGACTGTGAGCTCCACGGGAGCTAGTGTTGTTCTCGTTTTTGCTCATCCCTATGTGCCTGGCATATAGTAAGTAGCGCTTAACAAGTATTTGCAGAATGAATGGATGAACCCAACCCATCAATGAGCAGGTGTGTGCCCAGCCCCCTCCGCATTTCCGGCTTTATGAAACAGCATAAAGCACAGGTTCTACCTCCTGGGAAGTGACAGTCTAACTGAGGAAATACCATACAGGTACAGGTAACCACAGTGTCAATGAATTTCAATGCACTGCTAGAAAAGTGAGGACTGGAGCAAGGCTGGAAAGGCAGGATGCTGGGGGCGTGGAGGAGGCAGGGCCTGAGCCAGGCTGTGGAGGCTGCGTGGGGAAGAGGAGATGGACGTTCTAGACACAGGGGACAGCCGACCAAAGGTGTGGGCTGGGGGGGCACTGGCTTGGCTTAAGCAGGAGATTGCTTTGGGCTGGTGACACAATTTGTGGTGGTCACATGTTTTTAATTGTAAGCCTAGCACTGCTGGCAGCCATCTTGTCCCCATGAGTACACGGGCTGTCTGACAATAAAGGCAAAGCAGAAATAAGAGAGGAGAGACAGAAAGACGCAGTGTTCAAGTCTTGGTGGGTCTGCTTGAGATCCTGGATCTCGCTGTGCCTGACCCACCCCCGGACTTGTCAGTTATGTGCTCAAGGCATTTTTGAGATGGGATTTGTCACTTGCATTTGAAACAATCCTGACTAATACATGCTTGAATGATTTCAACTTCATCACGACCATGATGGGTGGGATGTTCTTAGGCTCCAGAGGGGGCAGGTAGCCAAAACTGTGGCACATAAATGCCACCTCTCCCTCTAAGCCAGTCTGCTCAGAGTTCTAGGGCTCTCTGCATGTTCATGGCAGACTTCATCCCTTTGTCTTCAGATGGGAGTTAACTGTCTCCTCCCAGGTAGACCCTGTTGTCACTGGAACCAACCTTGGCTTCCTCCGTTCTACCTCCCTTACAGGTCCTGGGGCAGGGCAGGGCAGGGCAGGGCAGGGCAGCTGCTCAGCCGCTCGACTTCAGGGTACAGAAGCGGGAGATGATCCCACCCTGCTAGTCCTATTGAATTCCAGAAAGAATTCCTGCCCCCCAGGCCTCCCACAAATCCCCTGACATCCACTCAGGGGAACCGCATGAAACCCCATTAATAAACCCACATCCCCAGCACTTTCTTGTGCATCAGCAGAAAACCTGTCTGTAGACGTTGGCTACCATTGAAGATAATGATGTCATACATCTAAGTCTCAACATTGACGGTGGCGTAAAAGACAGGGTGGTGATGATGCTGCTGGCTTTTCATCTACAGGGCACTGTGGCTTTACTTGTCACTAGCTGGGTGACTTTGAAAAGTGAGGAGTCCTCTCTGAATCTCAGTTTCCCCCTTAGCAAAAGGACAAAGTTGGCCTGGGTCTGGGTTATAAAGTTAAGTCTGAGTGCAATGCGCACCACCCGAAGGATGGACATATTTGAAACTCGGACTTAGGGGGAGGGGGGCAAGGGCAACATACGTAACCTAAACATCTGTACCCCCATAATATGCTGAAATAAAAAAAAAAGTTAAGTCCCTACAGGGGTCAGACCTATCTTGGAAGTGTGTGAAAGCGACTGAGTATAAGACACCGGGGAGTGGTGAAATGAGCAGAGGAGTAGAGAACGCATGTGCTGAGAGGCACTTAAATTCCTTAAAGTATTTCTGGCTAAATAAAACACATCTCTAGGCCGAATCCAGCCCATAGGCCACCAGCAACAATAACCTTGGGTTAGGTAATTCCCGAGGTACTTTCCGGCTGTGACATTCTATAAGTCACTCTATTATACCCAGGAAGAGGGTATGGGGCAGACATTACCTTACATATGGACACGTGGGAGCCCAGAGAAGGCTGACAACTTTTGCGAGGACACACAGAGCACTCACACAAGGGCAGAACCTACCAGAAGGTCCAGGTGTCAATGTCACTGCTCTTGTCCTTTCCCTAACACAGCTTTCCACATGCAAAATCCAAGCTTATTAGCAAAACCATGTTCTTGCTGGGGAGTGACTTGATGAAGATTTTTCATTATATTAACAGTATCACTCCACTGAAATGTAACTCAGCTCTAACCCCATTAAAGGAAGGCCCTGAGTTTAGGAAAATAAAATCCTGCCTTGCTTGACTGTGGCTAGTGCCAATTATACATAATGCCCAGTCGGTGCACTTAACCATGCTTGAAATTTTAGATAATTTACATTCAAACTTACATGGTGACCAGACTGAGAGAGAGACCAGACTGAGAGAGAGAGAGAGAGAGAGAGAGAGAGAGAGAGAGAGAGAGAGAGAGAGAGAGAGAAGAAATACAGGTGAGAGGACTAGCAAAATTTTTCTCTCCACAGACCAGCTTTTTAATTTCATGTTCCATTATGTGGGATAACAGTATCATCTTGCAATTTTAATGTGATGTCCCAGACCATAATATCCAGATACAATATTTATGCAGTCATCTCCAAAATGAAATATTCATGCAGTTGGGAGATTGGTTGCTGTATTTACTGCATTCGAAAACAGATAAACTGCAAACGCATGCTTTGGTTAATTATGAGTAAATAGAGACAACCAATTTTCTAGGTCTCAGAAAAGCTTCTGGGTCACACAGGCTACCAGGGACTTATTTTAAACTAGGAGAAGGTGGCAGAGGTCCAGCATCTGGGTATCGACCAGGGGGAAGGCATCAATTGCTTGGGTAGGGATTTGCTTTTTTTCTGCCCATGTATTCACAACTTGAACAGGTAAACTTGGAAGGCAAGGTAAGTCAGTGAACTTACTTTTCACAAAGGCCAGCTCATCAACAAAGGGCGCATGGCTCTCTCACCTGAGGGATGGGACACACACACACACTTGCAGCAATGGGCCCTGTACGTAGAAGGTGACCAAGGATGCTCTCTGCCCCTCCGATTCATTTCCCGTTGACTAGGTTACCTGGGGCAACCGGGTGCACAGGTGGCACCACAGCAGAACAGACATCAGACAGATCTAGGTACCACTCCTGCCTCTGCTTTCACAGGCTGTGAGGGGTGGGGCTGGCTCACCCTCTCGGAATGCCAGTTTCCTTATCTGTAAGAAGAACCCCACAACACCTGTCCCTAA